TTAATTTTAATTTTTGTGTTTAGTCTCTTGGCAATACTTTATACATATATATACATATATAAATATATATATTAGTAAAGCAGTTTTCTGCTTCCTATAACGTCTAATGTGGTGAATCTCTCTAGGAATAGTGCAGTAAATTCATAGCTGTGGGGTAGGAAAAGCAGTCTTAGGTCAGCTGTACATGCAGTGGAACAGGATACTTTGTGAATCTGTTTTCCACTTTGATCTTTTGTTGTTTAGGGGGGTAACGTTGGTTGGTTCATATCGTTGTGTTTCAGAAGTGCTTTTCACCCCTCTTGATAAGTACTCGGAGAGCCTGGCAAGCTACCGAGAGTATTCGATATGCCAAACACAGTAACAACAAAGTCTCCAATGGAGACGTTACTGGGCCCGCTCGAGCAAATCGACGATCAACGGGAGGGCCTTTACCTTTACCTTTACCTTGATAAGTAAATCACCATATAACATCCACCACAAAAAGATCACAGCCCCAGTAGTCTTTGGACTCCTCTCCATGTGTTGTACCCTGTCCCCCTCTGCTGTTACCTCCGTACCAGGGACAGCCCCCAAGGGTTAGTCTTGGGTTGGTTTTGTGTTTGTCTATACCTTCACCTTGTTTCTTTATATCCATATATGAGTGAAACCAGCCAGTACTTGTCTTTTTCTTTCTGACTTGACTTGGCATGACACATCTGCTTCCTTCCCTGTTGTCACAAGTGACAAGACTCCATCTTTTCTTATGGCTGAATTGCAATATTTCACTGTGCATATATGCCACGACTTCTTGATTCTCTCATCTGTTGTGGCATGTGTCAGCTCGTTTCATCATTCATCATTTTCAAGCCATGCCTCTTTGTTCCATGCCTCCCTTTGTCCCTAGCCCAGTCGTAAACTTTTCGCTCATTCTTGTATTCACTTCATTCAGTTTACATTGTCTGTGAGAGGTGGGTCACTAGAATAGTCTCTAGGGAGGTAGAAATGACCAGGACAGTCTGCCCCAAAGTGGCTCCCACTTTGACAGAGGAAGGGCCTTCGAAAGATGCTAAGACTTGATACACATTCCAGTAGGAGCACCAAGTGTGCCCAAGGGACTCAGGCTGGCACCTGAACGTTAGGAGGGCTCATTTGGGCTGAACAGGGCAGGTTTGCTCCTCTGGCCATCTGGTGTGGGCGTGGGGGTAAGGATGGGAAGGACACTTAGCAGCAGAACAGGAGATGACGGTTGTGGACAGCACAGTGGCAGCGAGCTGTGTCTCTTCTGCTCTCTTCTCGGGAGCGACCTTGGAATTCTGGAAGTTGTCCTCTGCAACAGAAGTTGCAGATGCAGCATCCACTCTCAGGTGTGCTCTTGGGGTTTCCTTCCCACAGTGCCCAGCGGCCTAGCGCCGACGGAAGTATTGTTCCCGTTGCGGTTGACCTGGTTATGTCGTGTGGCGGCGTGGCACTTGGGCCCTGGGTCCAAGTTGCTCGTGACAGATCATTAAGGCAGGATTCGCCCCAGGCCCTGCAGCCTGGGCCCCGTTCTCGTTCCTGCACGAGGGTGGGGAAGCCAGGGCGCGCTTCCCCCCTGCCTCTGCTCGGGATGGGAAGTTTATGTTTATTGCCGCGTTCCCTTCTAAGTGGCTGCCAGCGGAGCTGACGGCGGGCTGGGGATGGCAGCCGTGCGAGGAGCTGGCAGCGGTGCCGGCGAACACCAGGCCCACTTGGTTTTATGTGGTTGCAGCTGTGACTATGACATTTGCGGATTTTTTTTTTTTCCCAAACAAGAGGATAGAAAACATGGAACAAGTTGCTTTTCTTCCCCCCACCAAAGCATTAGAAGACATTGAAACGTGGAGTTCTTGACTCCCTCCTTCTGTTCTTCAGATCATATCTCCAGCTTACCGATTGACGGGATTAAGATACAGGGGGCCATTTAAAATCTGGGGGAATCTCTGATGTGTTGGGCCCCCCTCTTAGTTTTGACCACCCCCAAATAATTTTAAGTCATTCTGTATCTACGTTTTTGTTACTCTTATATAAAAGAGGCCCCATGCTTCATAGCAGTTTTGTTAAGTCAGTTGCTCATATCTGTTTAGAATTTTAAATGAGATGCCCCAGTAGGTTGTTGGCTAGATATCCCTAGACGTAGTGATCCTTTTTCCTGGTAGTCCCATTTATGATCACTTACTGAGCATTCATGGGATCAAATACAGCTTTTGTTTAAACTTGCCATGTTTGGCCAGCTCTGTCCAGTATGGAAACGCCCCTCAGCATTGCATGCAGGTTGGACTGCCCCAGAACTCTGTTTGTTCCTCTGCAAGTGAACAGAGCTCTAGAACCTATGTTATGTATGGTTATGTATGGTTCTTGGGAAGTAGACAGGACAATACCTAATAGTATAACAATTGAGTGCTTGGCACTGATGCCTCGCTAGGCCTCCCCTAACTTGACCCAGTAACATATTTGCTGTCTCCCCCACCCCTACCCCCCACACCCCCACAGATGAGAACACTCAGAGGTTCCTTATGGAGGGTTTAACTCGCTTGGCTCTCTGGGTCTGACTTTTGTGTTTTGGCTTGTACTTAACTCCATATGTCCAAACTAGTTTAATTCACAGCACAAGCCCTTCCTTTACGGCGTCTGCTGGCGGGACACATCTCTCTCCTGCCAGGTTCAGGTTCAGCATTTGGACGGCGAGCAACTTAGAAAAGCCGTGATGCATCTAGTAGGGGAGAGACCCCTTTCTTCAGACTCAGGCTGGAGGGAGGGCTCTGGCTCTCTCTGCCTCCCCCCTTCCCTCCTGTGCCATGTTCCACTCCTCGCCCACCTGCGTTTGGAGCGGCTCTGCTTCAGTGGCCGCTGGCTGGGTGGGCAGATCTGTTCTGCCGGCAGACCACTGGGGGTCGGCTGCTTTGTAGATGAGAGCGCAAGCGTTTCTTAGCCCGAGCCAGCGGCATGCGCCTGTGGTTTGAGAACCCTGGCGTTTTCGGCCTTTAATACGCGTCTATGATTCTTCTGGGGCGATTTGTCTTCACAGTGATATAAATGGTTGCAGGCAACAACGATCTCTCCCCACCACCTTTAGTCATTCTTTCGCCAGCCTGTATAAATGTTTGGCTTGTTCCGTCTTCCCTTGCGAAGTGGCAGGCCTGGGAGGGATGCGGTTTCCCGGGTGCCGGATGGCTCTGTGGTGACTTGATGGGCCTGTGCGTTTGAAGAGGGTGGGAGGAAGCGGGGAGAGGAAACCCGAACTCTGTGGGTGCAGAGTGATGCTGGGGGGAATTGCCCGGTGTGGAGGTTGACAGGCTGGGTCGACAGGAGGTCTTTTCATCACCTGTCAGCACGCTCGGTCGAATATGTGAGTCTCCTGTGTGGAAAATGCTGATGACCTTGCGATGCCCAACTTCTGAAACCAGTGACTTCGAGTGTTCCCTCCTACACACGTTCCTTCTTGTTCTTGCATGATCAGTAGCAGATAAATGCCTTCTTACGTGGGTTGCTGTTTGCATCCCCTTCCTATGAGTTTATTGCCATAAAGCATTTTCTTGTATTACTGCTTTATTCCATTTTTACCATTTAGTGAAATTTAAAGTGTTGTAGATGATAATGCTGGGCATGATCGAATCTTGTTATTTTGCAAGTGAATAGAATGCGAGGCAATTGATTTCTTTTTCCACTTCTGTTATCAGTGTCCATTATGGTTATAACAGTAGAATTCACCTTGTTCAGTGGCTGCTCCTTCCCCATGGTCTTGGCTGTTGCCAGAATTTCAGATCTTTCGACATTTGCTTGTTTGTTTTTCATGACCTCCTCCCGCTTTCCTTCTTCGTCAGTGTTGATGTTGCAGTCGCCAGCTGTGGTGCCTGGAGGTCGCACATCTGCTCGTGATGTTTTCGCTCCTTTAGCTGTGCTGCTTGCTCATGTGGTTGCCGGGGGTCACGCTCTTAGCTGAGGCACCTGAGTTACAGTCATGGTGCTTGCCTAGGGGTGGGGGTGGAGGTCACTACGGTGCTCATGTGTGTTAACTAGGGGTCATACTTCCTGTTTATGGTGCTTGCTCAAACTGTCAGATATTTCTTCTCTTATACATTCTTCCAGAATACAAATGTCCACTTACTTAGTTGAGGAGAGGCATTATATCGCTAAAGTTATGACTTAAAATTTATTTTGTGAACTTAGTTTTTTAAGTATAAGTGTATATATGTGTATATATATATTTCCTAAGTATCATAAGTGTGTGTATATATATGTGTGTGTGTATATATATATATATATATATATATATATATGGGTTTTTTTTTTCCCATTCCCTTTACCCTCTTGCTGTTGGTGGGACAGCTGGGTGTTGCACACATTTTTGTATGGGAGTACAAACAGGCAGCACTGCAGGGATCGTACTCAGCACATGGAGAGGTGTCAGGAATCAAACTCAGCCTCATCACTTCGCACAGGCCACACCCCCTGTGATATCATCGACACCTGATGATGAAATAACCAACCTGTGAATCTAGTATATAGCAATTTTGACCTCGAATTTATGTTGAAGATGCTTTGTTGTTTCTCGTTATCACTATAATTTTTAGTCCAGAACTAGTAATTTTAAGTAAGACCTCCCCCCTCCACTTTTTGGGGTTATATTACCATTTAGGAGATATTTAGTTATATTGAAATTTCCACTGACTGTTCTCTAGAATTAAGTTCATATATCTTAGGAACTAGCAGAGAAATTTTCCTTCAGGGTATACCAGAAGAGGAACAAGCAGTTTTGATAATGAAATGGGACCTTACAGAAATTATTTGTAGAGCAGCTATAATAACTCAAATAAGAATTGAATTGAGAAGGAAGGAAAAGAATTTTTTTTAAAGATATTAGTGTTTTGTAATATGATGGCACCAGAAAGCCAAAAGACAATTCTAATTTACCCGTATGTTTTCTTTTGCATTCTACAGAACTATTTATTTTAATCTGTCCTGTAACCAAAATAATGGAAATATAATTTCTATTTCTGTGGTAGGAGATGGAATAAACTGAGACTGCAGGACAAAGAGAAGTCTCCGAAGCTTGAAGATGATTTTGAAGAAAGTGATGCTGAATTTGATGAAGGTTTTAAAATGCCAGGTTTTCTGTTCAAAAAGCTTTTTAAGTACGTGCCATGTGTTCTTTCCTTTATCTCTGTCATCAAGCCATTGTGTACAAATGAATATTTTAAGAATTACACAGTAGTTACCTGTGGGCCCTTAAGGTACTTGCAGCAATTTATTGCAAATACAGATACCGTCAAATGAAGTTTTAGCCACATGCTGTTCATTAAAATTAGATGATAATAAATTGACTAAAGTGTGCTTTGGGTATGTTTGTAAACTGATGAATCTATATAGACCTGTCTCAACAGACCAAAAGCAACACATTTTAAAAAGCCATCTATGTCGAATTATTTTTTTGTTCTTAGTAATTTTAAGGGACCGAACCTCCTCTTCCTTAACCAGATTAATTTAGCAGGAGTTGTACATTAAAATCAATTTAGAGAGAGGCTTTTTACTTCTCTGTGGAAAGAAAAAACTGTTGGGATTATTTTTTGTTGTTTTATACTGCACCTAAGGGTATAACGCTTTTGAGTTGACCAAATGTGCATCTAAATATTTTATGTAGATGTTGTTCTTGTGTCAGAAGAGAAGATCCAGGCACACACCTTTAGGATTAAGTTGCTATTTGAGGCTGTTTCATGTGTAAAATGTAGCACATCCAGCTGACCGGACTCTCAGAATGTTACGTGCATTGCCTCAAGCCTGTGTGGCCAGGTTTTCACCCACGATGTTCGTAAACACGAAGGCACATTTTCACTTGAATCTCTTTTGAGCTTTACTTAACAAGGTACTTTAGGAAGTCTTCTTCAATGCACAAGAGAAGTTAAAGCATTAAGTAGCTTCTTTCTATCTCTTGCCTCGTGACTTGGTAAGTTGAGTGTAGGAAGTAAGCTTATTTTTCAGTGGTGTACATTTAATCACTTTCACAGAATCAGCTGTTAGCCACGTCGTCAAATTTTGCAAGATCTCTGCTACGAAAATGGCATGCATTTAACATTTCTTCCCAGAGAGCTTTACTTACAGTTTTATTTACTTATTTATTTTTTGTCCCTAGAGGGGACGGGACAAAGAAAGTGGGGATCAGTTGCTTTAGTCCAGTGAACATCCAGGAGAGTTGAATCTTAAAGATTTGACTGGAATTTTATTTAAAGTCTTCACTGGATTGCCATAACTGAACAGGAAAACTCTGGACAAGTTCAAACTTGACTCTCTAGTAACTTCAGCTGACAAATCATTTAATAGCCCAGAGAGGAGGCTTTTTAGTTTATTACTTCCCCAAACTGGAAATTAACAATGGGGAGGTAAATAAAGATGTTATAGGCGACCCTTTTCATCTTCTCTAAAGTGATTGCTTATTAAGGAATAGACCAAAGAGTATAGTGTTGTGCTAGCAAAAGTAAATACCCAAATTATAGGTTAAATTGATTTAACAAAGACAGGATACTTCTACATGCATAGTAAGTGATTTGGCAAATATCCTCAAGAGTCAACTTGAATGTGCATTTTTGTATAAGTGTAATTTTTCTAGTAAAGAAGTTTCCCAGTTACAAGAACCAGACTTTGTTTACCGAGAGTATATAGGACTCAGTGAATGTATTCATTATTATTTACTATAGTAGTTAATGTGAATACATGTTTGTTTTAGTTCATCTTAATTACACATTTTGTTGTTTTCATCGCTTAAAACACAACTTTAAATATATAAAATTCCATCTGTTGTATCAAAAAATATTAGTAGGACTGATGGCTCCATTTTTCTGTTAAGATTAAGTTTTAGCCAGACCAATTTAATTTCAGACATACATATATATGTCTTTATATATATTACCACACTCTGCGGAATTAAATTAACAGGGCATAGTTATACACAAGGGAGGCAGAAGATACAATTATCCATTTAAGTGCTGTTTTCTGCAAGATCATGTTTAACGTTTCAGATTCTGTTTTGAAAGTTTGCCCAGCAAATGCATTCATCTATATAATTTAGCAATCAAATGACAAGCTTCAATCTTTTGACCTTACTTTTTGCCGTACTTGCAAATGCAATCTTGGTTAGTGTGGTCATGCCAAGATCTACCAATTATCTGTGGTTATTTTGTGATGTTTCAGTCTCATGGGGAAAGCAGTATTTGTAATTTATTTACTATTGTACAATAGTTTGTAAAAATCTTTAAATTTCCCTGAAGAGTAATTTTTATATGCTCTTCAAAGGTTCTGAAAACTGAATCCTGTAACCTGCTTTCACTTAAAATATATCATTGTCCCACAGTGTTCATTGTTAGAAAATTACAGCCTTAAGACTTAAGTCAGTTAGAGGCACTGCTTAGAACCAGATCCCAAACTCTTGGGTCTTCATCCCGCAATATGCAGTTTGAGACCTTTGATAGAAGGAAAGAACTGCCTTTAGCCAATCTTTGTGAAGTGTTGAAGTGGGGGTTGTCTGCACAGTGTTGTGACCAACAGGCTGTCTAGTATATATTTTTCCTCTGGTGTTTCATTTCTTTGGTTTAATCATCTTATAAACATACAATCCTGTGCTGCTTGATCATCACTGGGGATGTAAATGTGGAGCTATTAATCGCCACTCCTGGGTCACCGAATCCAAGTGTCCTAACTCCCTTCCCAAACTCCCTCTGGGATCCCAGACTGAGCACCATTTCTTGGTCCCTTTATGATTTCCCATTGCTCCTCTCCATGCTTCCTCCCACTTCAGGTTGATTGGCTTGAAACAAAGAGAAGTGTTGGGCCCATATTGGACAGAGGCTATGTAGCGTAATGGTAGGTTGGAATGATAGCCGTGAGGTTTGGGACCCTGGTCTGCCCAGAGCAGCTGGTTCGTTAACTGCTCTCTACCTCAGTAAAAGGAGGTCAGTTGACTAGAGTTTAGTGATTCTGTTACATGCAGAATGTATAGCAGATTTTTTGAGGGCTTTCTGGCCTATATTGTTTTCTGCAGCTGAGATGAGTATAGTATAAAGCTCTCTTTAGAATAACGAGGGTTCCCATCCTCAGCACAATGGACATTTTGGGCCAAACAATATTTTTGTTTGTTGTAGGGACTGTCCTGTGCATTGTTCATATTGAGCCGTGTCTCTGACCTTTACCTTCTCAGTGACAATTGTATTTTCTCAGTGGCACAACTCAAACCCGTATGTATTGCCAGAAGTCCCCGAGGGAGCAGAGTATCCTTGTTCCAAACCCTCTCGAGTACTGCTGGCTGAGGGTATTGAGAATTTCTGCATTTTATTTCTGGCTTTTAATTTTTCCCCCAACAGTCTCACTTTTGGCATGCTTTGCTGGAAGTTATTTGCCTCTGTGCCTTCATTTCCGAACTTTAAAATGGGCTGATTATCTCCATACAAGGGTGTTTGTGAGCTGCATCTCAGTCACATGGCCCAGTGCCTCCCCAGTTGAGGGCTCCTTCAGTGGTTACCATTATTCTCCCATTACATACTGAATGGTAAGAAAACTTGTTTTTCTTCCCAAATTAAATCATTGTATACATACACTAGACTTCATTGTGTTTTGATTTTTAATCCTCTTCTCTAGGGTGTCTATTCATTGTGTATATTATAATTAGCAAATACGATAAGCAGCAGCATTTTCCTGTATTGTTTTCCCTTCTTGATTTATAAGAATGACAATAGCTAGAGTCAGAGTTTCGGAATGGGTGTGCAGAATACTGGGGGAAACGTTTTTGCTTAGAGAATCTGAAGTAGAGCTGGTTCAACAAGAACAGAAGTCCACAGTGAGATGTTAGGTAGCAACTGTGTACCAAAAAAGTAAAATTTGGGGTGGCAGAACAGTAGCATAAGTACTTTCGTTTGGAAGTAGAGAGCTCTTTAGTTCTCTAGCTTCCATTCTGGTTAAATCCAAGTGTTATTTTGCTTAGATTTTATTACTTTTTCCCTCCTGTCCACAATGTTAACTTTTTCACTCAAAAAGTGCTAAAAAAATTCGTTGTTTTAACTTTATTTCTAGATTATAGATTAGGTGTGCCATTGATGGAGTATTCTCTTTTTTTTTTTTTTTAAGAGAGGAATAAAAGTTGTTACTGTGTTTGGCCACACATACACATTAACTAAATTTCTGATCCCTCTAATCTTTTCTTAAAATCTGTAATAGTTACTGACTTGAATTCTGCATTAAAATAATACACAGATTTTGTTGGTCTTTAAATTGTTCTTTTTTGCTTCTGTTTGTAATTTGACTGGATCATCTGTTATATACTAATTTTGCAAGCAGCCTTATTCCTCAGATTTATTTATGGCCATAAAGTTTAATATTTCCTATAAAAATAACATGATTGCCAACTGATATTTCAATAGTATATGCTATAAATTATGGTGTTCTCTTGTTTTCTTGAATACTGCTTCGATTGGAAAGCAAATTTTATTTTCTTATAGAAAAAATTGTAACTTCACTTAAAATATTTTTTCTCAAAGATATTGAATGAAAGATAAGTTTATGCTTATTTACCACGCTATTTCTTTTTTTAACCACGCTATTTCTAATGTTAAAAAGAGAGATTAAATAGTCTCTAATTATCCCATATATCAGCCTAATTAGAAATGTGTTAATGTTCTGTAAAGAAAAATTTGTGATTTTTCTGCCTAGGTGATCAAAAATGTATGACTTTATAAATATAATACTCATGTAAAACACACATCCGGCATGTTTCTCTGACTGGTACTAGAACCTAGCTAACTGATTAATTCATAAGTGCTTTCTGTTATGATCTGTATTATCCACCATTTGCCATTTTCTTTTTCTTGTTGGTGTTTGTTGTCGTAGGTACCAGCAGACAGGTGTTAGGTGGCTGTGGGAATTGCACTGCCAGCAGGCAGGAGGAATTCTGGGAGACGAAATGGGATTGGGCAAGACCATCCAGATAATTGCCTTCTTGGCAGGTCTGAGCTACAGCAAGATCAGGACTCGTGGTTCAAATTACAGGCAAGTGCGCCTCTGCAGACTGTCAGTCTGTGGAGCTCAATTAATATTTCATCAGATGTATTGCTGTGGAGGAGGGTCTTGTGAATTATTGATGACATTTCAATTACAATATTCCTTTAATTCTTTTAGTGGGGGACATCAAAGGAAAATTTTTACGAGACAATGGAGCTGTAGGGCAGGAGAAATTAAACATGTAACACTTTTAATGAATTCCAGGCATTGATGCTTCATTTTGCAGATGAGCCCCACTAGATATTTTGGGTCAATACAATGTCTAAGGTTAGCTTCTACAAATGGATTGTTTACAAACTCAATTATGTTAATATCAATAGTTTACACAATATGGAATTTTAGATTAGACATAATATCGTTAGTTCCATTTATTAAATTTTACATTAAAATATTTGTTTTGGCAGGAGACCAGGTGAGCATTACAGTAAGTACCAAGTCTATTCATGGGGAAAGTTGGAGCTTTGGAGAAGCCGTTCTCCTGAATTTCTTTTCTATTCAGTATGCATGGTAGTGTTTTTAGACAGCATTTATTTTTAAGTGAACTGTCTTGTCTGCTCTCTATACTTTCTACCCCCCCCCCCCCCCAGTCTTTAAGGATTTTATGTGAACTTTGAGGCCAAAGCCTAAATAGGTATCTAAAAATGATATAAAACTATCTTTAGAGTCTCCTCTTTATTCTCACTCAGAATTTTAAGTTAACCTTGAAACTTCGGTATTTTGAAAGAATAAACATTTCAGGGTGTTCAGACGTGGTCAGTGTGGTAGGACTATAATATTTTCATCTTGAAATAAAGTGAGCTTTAAGCTGTTAATTGGGTTTGTTAATCAGTATTAGTAAAACTAATACTTAGTAGATCATGTGGGATAGTTAATCTTGAACCAGATATTCCAAGAATTTTCTTTGATTCTAATAGGTTTCTCTGTTGGGTAACAAGGTATTTACCGAATATTTCTATCTGATATCTCAGGCACTCAGTAGATATGATTTGGAGGCACCTTTAAAGTAATGTCAGTGGATGGGAAGTCCACACTAAGCTTCATCAGCTGAGAAATGTTTTAGAGAAAGCCAGGTACAAACTACTGAGTAAATAACTTTTCTTTAATCTCCAGAGATTAGTGTTTGCATTTATTCCTTATTCTTGTTTAGCAGACCTATACTTGTCATGATCGGTGTTTGAAGTTTTAGAATATTTTAGAAATATATAATAAATGTAAGATGGGCAAAACAATTGGCTATTTAAAAATATTAAATACTTTGTTACTTAAAAAGTATGTATCAGGTTTTCTTCAGATAGCAGAATTTTATTACATTTTTTCTAAAATTTGAGAAGATTGCAATGCGAAGGAAAAGTCAAAGCTGAAAAGGAGCTTTTAGAATTTCCTTTACTTTGCTTGTTATTAGTTTAGCATTTAAACTGTTTTACCTTTTCTAAATAGGTCTTTTGTTGGCATGGTCTCCACAGCTCAGCTTGGGTTTTTTTTGATAACTAGAATGCCCCAAGCTGCCCCAGATGGCTTCTAGCACTGTCTTTCTTTCTTTAAATGATTTCTGGGATTTTCTTATTTCCCATCTCTTTTCTTCCCTTCCATTCCTATTATCATGAAACTGGTGTGGAGTCTAATTTTCTAGGCCTACGAAACCTAAAATCATCCCTGCAGTGTAGTTTTGATCTAAAAATTAAAACATGCTCTCTCGAGTGGTGACAATCCTACCAGGAGTGAAGGCAGGGCTAATAATGAGGAGCAGCTGTAATCAATTAACTATCAATGCTCATATCCTCTTTTCCATAATGAAATAGTGTGGCATGTTGGACGATAGCCCGGATCGTCTTTATTTAAATAGTATTGGTGAAGTGGCTTCCCAGAATGTGGTTATATATTAGCCAAATAACTGGTCTCTCTGTGAATAGAGGTGTGTTCAGGCCCTTCCCCTTGAAGGTGCCTGAGAAACTTATGTAACATTTTCCTAACAATTTTCTAACATGTTCTTCGAAACCTAAGTGAACTTGGAGAACTCCTTTCCGTTTAGCACCTAGAGAAAAATGGTCGACCCATGAGTTCAAGTGACGTGTGAGCTTGCTTTACCTGCTCTGTTTACTTCCCCTGAATTCTTGTAGGCAGTATCGTAGAGAGTATTAGTGTCACAATTTCTAGGATTGTTCAGGGTCTCTGGAATTCCAAGAAGGAACTTTATGGTGAATTTTTAAAATTTTTAAATATGTTTTATATGTACGTTTATTTTGAAAAGACGGAGAACCTTATTACTTGTCGCTGATGAAGGACCACATGACACATTCTTAGTTCCTAATACATGTACTACTTTAAAAATGTTTTTAAGTTTAAACTTATTATTTGCGTATTAATTTATTTTGGGTTGTTGTTGTTTTGTTTTGTTTTGGCGTCACACCTGGCAGTGCTCAGGCCTTACTCCTGGCTCTGCGGTCAGGGATTAAACCTGAATTGGCTGTGTGCAAGGCCAGAGCCCGACAAACTGTACTATTGCTCCAACCTCCTACTTAAAAAAAAAAAAATTTTTTTTTTTTCAGTTTTGGGGCCACATTTGCTGATGCTCAGGGGTTACTCCTGACTCTGCACTCAGAAATTACTACTGGTGGTGCTTGGGGGACCATATGAACTGCTAGGGATTGAACCCATATCGGCTGTGTGCAAAGCCAACACCCTACCCATTCTACTGTACTATCTCTACAGTCCCACTTACTTTTTTTTTTTTAAGTGTTGCAGTTATCTTTTGATAGACCCCCTGGATTTTTTTTTTTTTTTTGGAGAGAAATAAATTATTTACCTTTTCAGACATCAATCGATACTTCGATGGTCTTGGATATCATTTAGGATTAGTACCTCATTACAAATAAAGTTGCTTTGAAAATGAAAATGACACAAACTTTTAATGGCTATATGTTTGACTTTGTATTTCCTGATTAATTCTAGGGTGTGAGTATTACATTTCTCTCTTGCAGGTTGAAATATTTGACCATGAAACTATTGGCTTATCTTAAATTCATTAGCTAGTCAATGATAATCAAAGATGAAAGGGATGGTAGCTGGTTTGGTAATTGATGCTAATCACTGCAGTACATTTAGCCTTTTCTTGTGCTCAGCTCACCAGTATTGAGGTTGGAAGTGGGTGGTTCTGTTGATGTGACTGTTAATGGATTAGATTGCCCCTTCTGTGGTTGAGGAACAGTTCAGGCCTGCTCCTTGACTTCCACTTAGCATGAAACCTTCCACAGTTTTCTAATAGATAGAGAATGGCAGAAATTAAAGGCATAATAATGCCAGATAGATGTTCAACCAGAATATAATATTTGTCTTAAGTGACAAAGTATGAATATGACACGTTAGCCCTTTACAGAAAGCTCGTGGTTATAAAGAGAAAAAAACATGCTAATTGTAAAGTGGTTACATATGTATTTTTGCTTTTTTTGGAAGTGAGTTGTTTTTAAACATTTTGACAGTTTTGATTGGTTATTTCCTAATCCCTGCTAAGTGCATATTAATGGGAATTCTCCCTTATTCTCCTGGTAGGATATAAAGAAGATGGTGCATTTAATCCTTTTAGAGAGGAATATTGTAACGAAAAGGGCCAAGGCAGAGTCCGACTCACCTCACACAATTTGGAGGGTCCCTGCCCAGGAGATGCCCTTAGAGAGATACACAAAGTGAGGGGTGTTCGAAGAAGGTGTCCAGGAGATACAGCCTGAACCATTCCGAGGAGTAGATTGTGGGGTGTGATTGTAGCTGGTCAGGGAGAGGATTTAAAAGTGGGAGGAGGCATTTTCTAACAGTGGAGTAGAAGGATAACTGAGGTTTTATTTTTAGAATTAAAGTTATTTTCAAGTTGTACAGAGTTTTTAAAAGTATTTTGAGCACTATGATTTATTGTACTTAATTTTTAAGATTTTTTTTTGCATTCAAGGTCCTTTATTGAGCTATGGCAAGAAAATAAAAATCATCCACAATCTGAGTAGGAGCTCAGAAGTAATCTCTTTTAGCATCTAAATATAATTTCTTTCTACCTTAACATGGTGGACCCAAGCTGCTCAACAAAGAATATAGTCTGCACTTAAACAAGGGTAATATATTGTTAATATTATGAAAGTTTACGTGGGCTCTTAACTAGTATGGAAGCATCAAGAAAAGTGCTTAAACCATCTTGAACAAACGGTCCGGGAAAGCTCTAAACGAAAAGCAAGGACTGAAATACAGAGATGGTCACCAGGATAAGAGGATGAAAAGGGTCCAGATAGAAGCTGGGGAGATAGCTTAAAGGACTTGATCACATACCTTGCTGCTCAGGACCCTGAGTTTGATGTCTGTCACCACTAAGTGTGATCCTGGTGACCCAGCAGGTGACCCACCAGACCTGGACACTGAATGGTCAGGTCTTCCTTGCCCTGCTTAGCCAGGAGTGACCCCAGACTCCCAAGCAGTGCCCCCACTCCCCTGGGAAAGAAAAAGGGAAGGGAAGAGATGGAGGCTAGGAGATTGGGAGATCAGAGGAATATGCCCTTTGCAGAAACTGCATGCAGTGGGTGGAATGCCAAAGTGTAGGGGCAAGTGATGATGTGGGAACAGTGATCTGGAGAGACAGATGATCAGAGGTTAGATCCTCGTATCTCTAGGGTTAGGTGAAGGTCCTTCAACTGTCAAGAACAGTAGGAAAACAGTCAGAGGCCTTCAAGCAAAGGGATGAGGCATTCAGGTTTTGTTTTTATGAATTGGTTGAGCTATAAGTATAGTAACCAGATAAGGGATGATATTGGCCAGAACTAAAGAAAGCATCAGCACTGTGGATCGAGGCACAGAGTGACTAAGAGGGACCTAGGATGTAGATAGGATATGGAACGTGAGTTTAAATATGATGGAGAACACGTGATGGGCAACCAAGAATAAAGTCTGGATTCCCAATTTGAGTACCAGGGGAAAACAGGTTTTTCCCATTTCCTTGGGAAGCCTGAGAGGAGGGCAAGGTGGGGCCAGGGTGTTATGGGAGCAGCCCCGTGTAAATGAGCATCCAGGCATTTTGTACTTGGGAACTGACCAGGAAAAGAAGTCTGAGCTGGAGACCTAGAGTTGGTATCATGCGTATGGAACTCTGAGACTTAATGAGATGACACAGAGACAGGGGACATGGGCTTCTAGCTTCAGTTATTCAGCATCCTTGTTGGGCAGGAAGAGAAAGGGGAAGGAGAGAACGAGAATTTGAAAGTACCAGTGACTGCTCCAGAATCAGGGAGAGAGCATGTGGGTCTCCAGTGTTCTCAGTTCGTGTTGGCTTCCAGTTGCCTCTTGTGATCTAAGTTTGATTCCAGGCTTGAAGACAGACATTTCTTTCCATGATTTTACTTTTGCTAGGCTTTCATCATGGGTATGTTCGGCACCCAACTCCTAGCAAAACTTAAGATGAAGTCACCAGATAAAGGGAGGGTAGACGTAGTGGGGATCTGGGCATACAAGCCCAGGTAAAGAGATTGATCACACAAGAAAATGGGTGCTGGTTCTACTGTTACAGGAGAGAAGGAGGACAGATAGTGCAGACTCAGGCAGGCACCTGTGGTGTACAATGTATAAGGATAATTTTAACTGCAAGTAAGTCACACGTGACCAAATTCTGCTGAATGTTCACAAAATGCATGATACCCCTGGAAACATAGAGGTGACTGAAATGATCACACAGTCCAGTCATTAGTGACACTATTGGGAGCTCAGGTATTTTGATTTGTTCCCAAGATCGATTCTCTTGTGTTGCATAGAGGATCAGGTAGTGAAAGCAGGCCGTGGCAATCGGAAATCTAACTTTTGAGAATGGTTCTCTCTCATTAGTATGCTTGTCTCCTTAAGCCTACTAATCTTCATTTCTCTACTGCTTACTTTCTGGGCTGTAAGATCCTTGAAATTCTGTGGGTGAAACTCTTAGTATAAGACTATGAAACTTTGGACAAATTTATGCTACTCTAAGTTAATTCAGGCTAAGGAGATACACACACACACACACACACACACACACACACACACACACACACACTGCCTTTGCAGTGGAAGAGAAGTGCCAAATATTTATTTTTCTTTCTTTCGTTTCATTTTCTCCTACTTTGATATTGGTGCTGTTTTTTAGTTTTTTCTTTAAATGTCTGCATCTCCTAATTGATGATTGGGATGGTAGATATTTTGCTTACTGGGTTTTAACTAACCTATGACTTTTCCCTCAAGGAAAATTGCAATGTATTTTGTTAGCTAGTATTTTCTTTTTTGATGGTTGGTGTTTTGTTTCTTTTTTTATGTTTTTTGACAGTTGCTCATTCATGTGCTGTGATTCATGGTTGTGTTTTCTTCTTGGATGTTTTGGATGCAGGTTCGAGGGGTTGGGTCCCACTATAATAGTCTGTCCGACTACGGTGATGCATCAGTGGGTAAAGGAATTTCACACATGGTGGCCTCCTTTCAGAGTGGCAATTCTACATGAAACGGGCTCCTATACCCACAAAAAGGTAACGTGATGACTCTTCAGTACCTGTTTACTTGTTTTGTTTTAATATTCTCCATTTTACACATTTATTTTCTCTTTATGTGTGTCTCAAATGATTATTCCAGCGTTTCATTTTCATGCATGTAAATCAGTGTTTTTCAAATTTCAAACTAGGGAGGTGATGGGATGATATGGGGTGGGGAGGTGCTGGTAACCTCGATTAGCCTCCTTTCTGCTTGTCAGTTTAAAGAAGGTGGATTTTCAGGGGAGCACTGAGTGATTTTTTCCTGAAAGCAGGATGGTAGGCAAATAATTTTGGGAATCTCTGACTTAAACTTAGATTTAATGATTTAATTCAGGGCTCTGTATTTTCCAGGTAGTTATGCACGCAGCTTTATCAGTCAGATAATCTGATTTTAAGTGTGTTCTTTTGCAAACAGCTAGGCACACACTCATATTGTGAATATGAGTGTGAGTAGTCAGGAGGGCCTATATCACATTTAACAGGTGAATTTAGGCCAGTGATGACTCTAACGAGTTTCAAGAAAGTGGGTACAAAATATTATCTTAATTGGTAGGAGCATTTGTTAAAATGCTTCTAAAACTTGTTTTTGATGAGCAAAGAATAACCTGGTAATTAGAGAATTTTACAATTTCAGTTGTTGCTTTTAGTTGAGTAGCTTTTTGTTCTTGATCATAGTAAAACCATATCACTGTTTTGAAAGCTGTATTTTCTCTTCCTTCGTGGTCGGTTTAGCTACACAATCAAAAAGCAGATTTATCCAGAATTCTATGGGTAGCAGAGTATTCTACTGTTTTCTATTCTCTCCCTCACCAGGTAGACTGGAAGTTCCTATGGATTAGGGACTGTGTCTCCCTCAGATTTATATTTCAAGTGCCTACAAACATTTGCTAAATAGATAATTATTTATTATTTAATAATGGGCTTTTATTTTTCTTTTATTGTAGGTTTGCAGATTATCTTACTGATAGGAATGGTGGTTTGTGAATTCTTTCTTGGGTCTTTGAAACTCTTTATGAATGTCCCTGTGACACCAAGCAAGCAGAACTAACTAAAAGAGGTGTTGCATGTTGGCCCCGCTAAGTTTGACCCACACAAGCCTCTACATTCTAGGTCCCCGCTTTGTCTGTACCCATTCTCCTCCACATAGCCCTCTTGTCTGTGATCAGGAGTAAGTGAACTTTGGATAGAGATGAATCAGGAGTATCTTTAATTTGTAGCTCTGATGTGGTGAAGTAGAATCTTATTTTCACTGGCTCTTGAAACCTGTTGATTTTGTCTTCAATTTTAAATGATAAATGGAAAATATAACAATTTAGAATAAAGACTATGATTAAAAGAAAGCAAAAAAGACTTTTTTAAAAAAAAATTTAGCAGCGTGGATTACATACTATATTTAGATTGTCTTTGTAGTTTAAATAAATTGAAACTATCTTGCCAGTTTGCCAAAAATTTTTTTCACTTTTGTTTAGCTCTTTCATTGTTATGTTTTTTTAATTTGTTTGTTTTTGGGCCACACCCAGCAATGTTCAGGGCATAATCCTGGCTCTGCACTCAGGGATCACTTCTGGCAGATTTCAGGGGAGCATACAGGGTACCAAAGATCAAACTCAAGTTGGCCACATGGAAGGCCAGCACCTTACCTTGTAATACCACTCTGACTCCTTGCTCACAGCTTTTAATGTTTGGTATTATAAGTCCTGTAGTAATATTCATTACTTAATGTTTATCTTTAAAACATTTTTCTTTCTTTTTGAAAATTAAATTAAAAAAAATTTAGGTACTGTGATTTTTTTTTTTCTTTTTGGGTCATGCCCAGCAATGCACAGGGGTTACTCCTGGCTCTGAACTCAGGAATTACTCCTGGCGGTGCTCAGGGTACCATATGGGATGCTGGGAATTGAACCCGGGTTGGGCGCATGCAAGGCAAATGCCCTACCTGCTGTACTATCACTCCAGCCCCTAGGTACTATGATTTATGATACTATTAATGATAGGATTTCATGCATACAACATTACCACACCCTCTGCCAGAGTGTTCTTCTCCCGGCCTTCACCTCCTGTCCCCTGACTGTGGTAAACTCAGTTCTCTAGGCCAGTTAGAAACTTTTAAAAAATATGTTCCTCTTCATCCTTTGGACTAGTAAAGTTCATATTTTACACCTTCACCTGAATCCTGACTTAGCTATATTCCCTCTGTGTTAAAACTGCAGAAGTAATGTCCTATAAATGAAACTTGTTTACTCAGTAATGGAAACAGACCTCACCTGGTCAGTTGACCAGCGTGTCTGTCATCTGTCACTAAGACTTTCTTCTTTAACTTGTTTGTAGAGCAAAACTTTTCATAACATATGATTTACTTTTGTTTGCAATGATTGTATCTTCTGAAGTTTTGTGTGAACGTGTGCTTATTACTGCTCATAATTTTTTTCAGTATTTTATGGTTTACTGATAACTTCGAGTTTCTCATTGAACTTTTGAGGATAAGCCATACACTTGTGTTTTTCTTCTGTTTTTCTACTGTTCCTTTTTTATTAAAAACATCTCCAATTTCTAGAGTTACTCCTTTGCATCTTTCAAATGATACTCTTGACTTAAAAATGGTTTGTTAATGTTAATATCCATTTGTTCATTGTGATTATGATATATGGGGAATGTGCTAACCTTTTGCACAGGCCTTGTTCATGAGACTTCCTAGATCAGAATTCTGGCTTCTAGATTCAAGCACTGATGTGGCATTTGATCCTTCTGCTCCTTCCTTTAGTATCTGCATGCACAGATCTTGGCCCCAGCTGCACACGTTCCTACCTGTTGACTTAAAAATGTGTTCATTGGGACTGAAGCAATAGCATAGTGGGTAGGGTGTTGCCTTGCATGTAGCCGACCTACATTCGATTCCCAGCATCCCATATGGTCCCGCGAACACCGCCAGGAGTAATTCCTGAGTGCATGAACCAGTAGTAACTCCTGTGCATCACCGGGTGTGACCCAAAAAGCAAAAAAAAAAAAAAAGTGTTCATTTATAAAAATGTTTTTAATTCATATTTTCATATTTCAAATATTCCATCAGTGCTGGTCCGAACCTTAACCCAGCAGCTACTGTTTGATTTTTTTTCCGTTTTTATCAACTGCTATTACTTTGTTTTCATGGGAGAGCTTTCTCTGCCCACTGACCGTGTTGCCTAAATATAATGGTGGTACTCTGTTATATAGGGTATCATTTAGAGTTAGAAAATCCAGAAGATTTCTCTTCAGAAATACTTAAACAGAGAAGAATGCTAGGATTGTTATGCTTACTCAAGTAGGTTACCTTTATTTTCCTAGTGATTTTTTCGGCAGTTGGTATGACATAAAAATTTTGAAGATTTTTCCATTGAGAGATTATGTGTCAAAGGAGCGAACAGTTTGTGAATGGAGCACTTCTGTCATACTTCTTCCCTAAATGGCTCTTTAGCTTCCCATTCGGTCGCCTTTTGATCCTGTATTCTTTTGTCACTGATCTCTGTGGTAGTGCAATGTGAAATTATCAAATGTACAACTATCACCTTATTAAGAATATTTTGATTAATGTTTTCAGTCAAACAAATCAGATAGAGATCAGAGCAGTAGTTCAAGTATAGAGCTTATACTTAGCACATACATGGTGCTGAATTTGAACCTCAGCACTTTGAATGTTTTTTAAGAAGTTTCAGGCTGTGTATCTACTGTCCTTAGGTCTCCGCCTCATGTTATGTTGTTTTATACTCCACAAATGAGTGCAGTCCTTCTATTTCTGTCCCTCTCTTTCTGCCTCATTTCACTTAGCATGATACTCTCCATGTCTATCCATTTATAAGCAAAGTCCATGACTTCATCTCTCCTGACAGCTGCATAGTATTCCATTGTGTAGATGTACCAAAGTTTCTTTAACCAGTCATCTGTTCTGGGGCACTTGGGTTGTTTCCAGATTTGGGCTATTGTGAACAGTGCTGCAATGAACATATAGGTACAGATGTCATTTCTACCATTTTTTTTTTTGCATCATCAGGATATATTCCCAGAGGTCATATTGCAGGGTCATATGGAAGCTCAATTTCTAGTTTTTGAAGAACTGTCCATTTTGTTTTCCAGAAAGGCTGAACTAGTGGACATTCCCACCAACAGTGAGTTTCCCTTTTTCCCCACATCCACGTCAGCATTGTTTGCCTCTGTTCTTTTGAATGTGTGCCAGTCTCTGTGGTGTGAGATGATACCTCATTGTTGTTTTGATTTGCATCTCCCTGATGGCTAGCGATGTGGAGCATTTTTTTCATGTGCCTTTTGGCCATTTTTATTTCTTTTTTGAGGAGACTTCTGTTCATTTCTTCTCTCCATTTTTTGATGGGGTTGGAGGTTTTTTTTTCTTGTGTAATTCTACTAGTGTCTTGTATATCCTGGATATTAATCCCTTATCAGATGGATGTTGGGTAAATATTCATTCCCATTCTGTGGGCTCTTTCTGTATTTTGGTCACTGTTTCTTTTAAAGTGAAGAAGCTTCTTAGTTTGATCTAGTACCATTTGTTTATGTTTGCTTCCACTTACATGGTCAGTGCTGTTTCATCTTTAAAGATTTTTTTAGCTTCAATGTCGTGGAGAGTTCTTCCTACATTTTCCTCTATGTACCTTAGGGATTCATGTCTGATATTGAGGTCTTTAATCCACTTTGATCTGACTTTTGTGCCTGGCATTAGACAGAGGTCAGAGTTCGTTTTTTTGCAGGTAGCTATCCAGTTTTCTCAGCACTACTTGTTGGAGAGGCTTTCCTTGTTCCACTTCATATTTCTTGCTCCTTTGTCAAAGATTAAGTGGTCATATATTTGGGGGTCTGTGACCGAATATTCAACTCTGTTCCATTGGTCTGCAAGTCTGTTTCTAGCCCAGTATCATGCTGTCATAATTGCTACTGCTTTGTAGTACAGTTTGGAGTTGGGAAGGGTGATGCCACCCATCTTCTTTTTCCCAAGGATTGTTTTAGCTATT